CTTTGTCTATTAAACGCTGTTCAGACGCCCGTGCTACTGATTTCTGTTTAAAGGCATATCCTTATTCTTGGGAGCAGGGTGAAACTGGGGAATATTCCCAGTGTCACGAGTTTGGCCATTCCCACGCCAGGCAGAATTTGAGCTATTCCCTTGAGAAAAATTTCCTACCGGGCCACTGGCCGTTTGCTGAGCCGAACAAGCAGTAGCACAGGTTCTCCGGGCAATTTCTACGTATGGGACCCTTGGCACCACAGCCATAACAAGTTATGACGGGAAAATCGGGGTCGATGACCTTCATCAAACCTAGCACAAAAGTGGTCAAGCATAAGCACCGACAAAAAAGAGGATTACCCATAACCGTCGAGGATGGTTTTTTACTTTACTATTTTATAACATTTTACAATTGCTATCATATATTTTGAGACAGTCTAGGGCTAGGCGGCCATGCTAATATATCCATAAAGTAATTGTGTAGTTAAACAAAATTAAAATTAATACCTGCGTAGAGGGATGGATAATTGTGTCGGAATTTAGTTTATCGATGTCGACGGACTAAATGACACTCGTACTTGACGACAAACAGTCAGAATTTATACCCGTGCCAAAAGTCTATGTGCCGTTAATAGGGACCCCAATTCCACTGTATGATTTGAAACTGGGTGCCTAGTTGCTTTTTGTTATGTGCTTTGTTGATATATTTCTTCATAATTACTATGTAATATTAAAAATGTCAATATAAATATTTGACAGCGAAAATAGCCAAATTAGTTGAGCTAGTTTGGCTGATAAATAGCTAAAAACACGTGAATCCTATTCTATCGCGGGGGTGGGACATGTATGGCTCATAGCTCACGATCTCTCCAGACAAAAAATAAATTAAAAAGTAGTATTACAACCTATCTTTTAAAACATTCTGGACCATATCAAAATGGTAAAAATATCGGAAATATCGGCCTTAATCTAACCGATACCGATACATGGCCGATACCGAAAAAATGGCCGATACCGATACATCGGTACATCTCTACTAACTATTGGGCGAATTAGGGCTCAGACTCCACACACCAATGCATATGCCATAACTAGACACTAAATATAAATAAAATACAAAACAATAAAAAATAGGACAATTCCAGTCCCGCCACACTTGCATAGTATTTTTGAGTCTTCGATACCATAAATAGCAATTTTTCTTGAAAACAATTTTCAAAAATTTAAAGACTTGATACTCTTATGTGGAGTCTTTAATTGGACATTCAACCCATTTTAGCTAAATTGCTGTAATCGTCTGGTGCGCAACAGCGATCGAGTGCCATACCGATGCTGAATTGTTTATCCACTTTCGGCGTGACAATATACAGGGCCAGTCAAAAATATGATGAAATGACCTAACCATATGATGAATAAATCTCGGGAATGCGAACTAATATCGGGGTTGGCTTAACTGCGCCTAATCCTAGTACCGGTAAGGAAGCAAAATTCTCAATTAAGGTAGATTAAATTTAACTCGATCCTATCGAATCATTGTGATCGTCCATTTGGCTGCTATTATCATGAAGAATTACTCCTGAAAATTAACGGATAATCTTTACACGTTACATTAAACCAATTTTGTGAACAAATTGAGGGTATAGCACTTTCTGTTTGTTTTAATTTTTTTACGTATAACTGTTTTCTTGGTGTCGCTGAATAGAAAATAGAATGTGGCGGTTTCCAACTAGATTACCTCTAAATTGCTGATGATCACTAAATCGCCCGCTGACAAAGGTCGATATATCATGTGAAAGAGGGATGCTTTGACTATTCAGTTGAAGCTCAGTACGCGACCATGTGAATAAACAGCTGCATTGTGTAAAATAATGCGAACAAAAATCGAATGGGAAAATATTTACTTTAAATTCGAATCGACGTTCGATCAAGCTCCAATTAAAACATATACTGCATCATCGGCACAAATCAGCATAGTAAACGGTATAATTTTTATTTAACATGTGAAAATTGTATGATCTTCGAGAATAATATTTAAAGAATTCCATTGGCATCACAGTATTTATTTATACTAATATTATTACGTACGCTAAAAATTAAAATGTAAATTCTGTAAGCGTACTGTGTAATTATTAAATCGACTGTGCACGTGTAGATCGAGATCATATTTCAATCACAGTGATATGGTTATGAATTAGTGCAAATATTTTATAGAGCACAATAAAATTCCGTTCCAAAGTCGAAGCGTAAAAATCGATATACAGTTGTATTCATAACTCTTGCTTGTTACTGGTTAAATCACGAGGTTGAATTCTGTCAGCGTTCCACATAAGATGATAGAAAAAATTGATCATTCTTTCAAAATTTTTCTTGCTAATTCTTTCGTCCATAGCATGAATGCTGAAACGAATAGAAGTTAGTAAATTACATTTATTTACGCCACAACTGTATTTCCTACAAAGAAGGGCACGAGATAACATCTGCGGCAGTGTTACATGAGATCACTTTTCACTTAGTTAGAAGGTCACAAAATTACACAAAAAAAGACCCAAAGATACCATCACCCGGATGTCGATAACAGCGGATTCAACGGAACTAGTAATGAGCTTGGAAATTTTCTTGCTGGAAAACAAGGGATTGACGCACAAATATGGACACAAAGTATCTTTACAGATACCTTCAATAGCGTGAACAAATCCTGAAACCGACAAAATTTGTGATAAAATACGGCCCGGGTACATATCAAAAAGTTATTTATGTAATAGCGTCCTGGGAGACACTCTCATATCCTGGACATACAATACAGATTTCAATTTGTTACTTGTTATCGTTTACGATAACACGCCCATTTAATCGAGTTCGGCATGTTATTGTCCCCCTATATGCCCCCTTAAATATAATTTCCTTCCCCAGTAAACGAAAACTTGTAATCCTTGAAAAATAAAAGCAAAAGTACTTACGTTGCAATGTCTTCTATAGTTAGTGATATGGGATTGAATCGATATATATTTTTGGTAAAATTTAAATAACACCGCGTGTCCGTATTTGCAACCAGTGTCGCTAGAAAAAATATCAAATAGTTTATAAGATGTCAAATCTTGGTAATCTCGCTATTTATAAAACAGATACAATAGTGAGATCGCAATATTTGAAAAGGTTATTTAAGCCAAAATTTCACTTGAATTTTGCTTTTCGTCTGGGTTGATCATGACCTCGAAATCACCGACCAGGATTCATCGGGTGGCATAATCTCTAGGTTCTTCATATATCTAATTTCAAGGTACTATTTATTAGAAATTACCTGGTACAATCACAACTTCGTCGAAAATCTGATCAATCGTGTCTGAAATTACTTGATATGGCAAAGAAGTTGATCGATCGAATGGGGATATAGGATGGGGTGGTTGCCGGCGAGTTATATTTATTTGAACTCTATCATCATTTATAACATTTTTGTTGTGTTTCATCACCTAAAATCGTATAATTGAAAAGTTGTCAATCATATCGTATATTGACAATTCACATGTATCCTTATTTGAAATCCGCATGTATGTGAAATATAGCCTATACCTATAAAGTACAGTGATTTGGTTTAATATGTGTTGAATGCGGATCAACATCGAACCATGAGTAACGTGAATCTTATAATAAATGGCATCTTATTGATGATATCTAATTAGTCAAAGAACTACTGCATTTCTTAATTAAGAAAACCTATCTTTCTTGACGAGCGGAATGTAAATAAGGAAAGTCAACCTTCTGGTGACTCTTTGAAATGCCAAATAATGCATGTAATTTTGGTAATTTCAAACCTGTGTAACTGTATCCATATGATGTGTCCTTTGGTTGACAACAGCCCAGGCCGTTGATGGAATAACATTAAATTTTTCTCCTGCTCTCATAATTGTAACCGCTGTTGTTGTACGAACTACTTCCCTTGTAATTTGTTATCTAAACTAAAGAGTCTCCACCAAAGCGGCTAAAAATAAAAGCAAACTATTTAAAGGCCGTGCAATACCGCAGTACAGGTTTTGTGCATGCTGTGATATTTCTTGAAAATCCAACGATTTCTTTTGAAACAACCGCCCAGTTGCACTGGTTTGAAAGCTGGATAGTCTGAATAGATAAAGATTTGAAAGAACTTTTTTTTACTAAGTGATCAAAGTTTATGACGCAATGGCCGAAATGACTTTGAAGATGGTTTCTCTGTCTAGCAATATGACATCAGTATGAAATTGGGTAACTGAAGCGAACGGTTCAGTAACCATGCCATCCTGAAGCTCTCGGTATAAAGCAGGGATTCCTAACCTTTTCATCAATGCTATGGACCTTTAATAATTTTCTTGTAGATTGTAAACTCTACTAAATAAACTGAGTCTATCTATAGTGCTATGGCCTATGGCCAAATGGTCTCTGGGAAGAGCATCTTCTCATCGTCATCACTCACATCATCACTGAAACTGTCTCGAAAGTGGAGGCTGATATATGTCATAATATATATATACTTTATCGGATACTACATGCAAGGGTAAGATGTCAAGAGTGTTAAATGTCCAATTTAACTTGAACAACACACAACTTGAATAATTTTTTGTAGAGAAAAATCTAATGATCCATTTGAACAGGATATTGTCTGACCACGTAGTCCAGTGGTTCCCAAACTTTTTCAAAAAAATTGTCTGACGGACCCCTTGCAATTTTGTTTTTGTTTTGCGGCCCTGTGCACTAATTGACTAAAATAGAACATTATCAAAGAAAGACAGAAAGATATCACATAAAAACAACGATCACAACAAAAATAAATGCTTCACACGGTGTAGTGCAAAACATATCTTCACCTGCGTTTATCACGATAAAATTACATACGATTATCTCAATTTTAATTTTTAGAAGACATTTTTGAAATTGATAATACAGAGTTGAAAACGTAAAAATATATGCCTACCGTTACCGTGTGTCATTGACACCTAAAAACTAAAACGTAGTGCCTTTCTGACTGCGCTATATTTAACGCTATCCACCTTTCAAAACAAAAGCGTAAATCAGCATTTAGAAACGGAGTGGCATACTTTATCCACTACCTACTGTAATTCTCTCCTATAACAACAAGCATCAAAAAAGGCAGCGCCATCTACACCTCCAAGTGCAGTTTTAGGTATTTTAGCGGGATTTCCAAACAATGGCCGCTATGGCTAAACGGCGCTCCAGAAGCATATGTACCAAGATGTCGCACGACCTGAACCCTAACCGGTACACAATACCATGTTCAGTTTGTGCGCCATCTTGGTGCACATAGATTACTTCTGGAGCTCCGGTTAAACCACGGCGACTGACTTTTTAGATGCCCCAAACCGGTACCACGACAGCAAATTAAAAAATCATGTCGGGTAAAATTTTGATGCCGTAACCAAGGCATGTCGAATGTATTGGCAGGGCTGCCTGTCCCTGTTGGTGACAAACAATGAGTAGGTTGGTACTTTTTTTGGTATATTAAACAAAAGTACGGCGCATGACTTTGTTAATATGCCGATAATACTGATTACTAAATTATAGCGCCATTAAACCATGGCATGAGACGCCGCGGTTTGTTCTTGGCAGGAGCTGTCATAGCTTTGTGACGTCACAATTGGGAAAGCCTAATCGAAACAAAAAGTGAAGAATCAGTGTCCTCAGCAGAGATTGTAAAGCATCATAAAGCGATAAATGTGTCTTTCCAAATTTAAGCAGTTAATTTTGCATTATCAAACTGTGAGCATCCAACAGATTTCTTTCGCGGACCCTCGGAAAGTACTTCACGGACCCCAAAAGGTCCGCGGACCCTAGTTTGGGAACCACTGACGTAGTCTGACGTATAGAATTGTCAATGACGAGTAGTACCATCTTTCCTTCTTTTAATATCATGTATATGCAGAGCTCATGGGTACCCAAAAATCTGTGACCCGTGGTGTCCATGAACACCCAGCGGGGACCAGTGGTCAGAAGTATTTTTCAAATAAACTTAAAAAACCTAATTATCGATATTACTCACATTGAACAGCCATAAGTTACAGGCAAAGACATTTAGAGGAAAGCTGAGTTCTGGTGCCAGAGAATCAAGAAATTCCGCGACAATGGAGTCAATCCGTCCCGGCATTTGGTTGTATTGAAGTCTGAGAAATGAACATTTGTTTCTAATAAAGACTAGGTGTAACGAGTTGATTTGACATATTTCTATTATGCGACATACTATTGACAAATAATATTTAGTTTAATTTAAAACAGAATGAGCTACATAAAATAATCGTATTATATGGGCAATTACAGATTTAGATTACGGTTGCAGCATGCAGCATGCAGAGTATCTGGTTAACGAAATTTATTTGAGATTATTCATACAAATTTGAAGTACAGTACAGTTCAAGTTCAAATCATATATATATATAAGGTGATAGCCAATTTGTTATCATGTGCATAATGGATGTACTATCTGTATAGGAATTTGGATCATTTGGATATTTTTGTCCGTACAAGCGGTATGTTAGTCGTTGGTACAAGAGACATTAACTTCATAGAGCTGTAGTTGAACTAGCATCTCAGTCGGAATTACTCAGTCTTGTGGGCCATGATTAATTAATTCATTTTTCACCCTGTACCTTGAAACAGCGTTTCCTAATACTCCTACAGCAGTTTCGCGATGGGGTATTGACGAATGTCCTCCATGAATTTCAACACTTATATTCAGATTGATGAACCCTCTCTCGGTAACTCCAATACTACAAAATAAAATCGGTCGGATATATATTCACAATAGCATGCTATTACGGACATCAGAAAACTATGAACAACCGTTGAGTTTTTGCTCGCCAATCATATGTTTGCATGAAAATATATCACACGGGGTCACAGAGACAAATTCGAATAAAATTCACTTGCAACTTACACTGCTAGTTCCTTATTTGACCCAGGAATGACGTCTTTCATCACCACCATACCCTCATCCAGTACAAAATGTAGTTTATTGACATCTTTTTCTATCAATCTTTTTGCTATATGTGGAGCTCCATCCGGACCCAGAACCTTTATATATTATATAAATGAAATATGTATATGAATGAAACAAATACCACGAAGCAAAAAGTTTAAAATGTTCGCAACGTTTTAATTTATATACTATTCTAATTCTAACATATACATCAGAAGACCAAATTGGCGCTCCAGGAGTGTGTGTACCAATATGAAAGTAACTAATTTTGTTTTGTAAAGAGACTGAAACCTATGGGCACTACGGGAGTACAACCAAATTACCTCTTCGTCATGTCCGAATCCCAAATAGAAACTCCTCTTAGGCAAAATTCCACGATCTAACAGAAACTCTAATGCAGCTAATTTTGACTGTAAAAATAAAATTTATTATTTTTTGCAGAAATTGGCATAATTCCGCAATTAATGAGTAGAAGGCTTCGTTTACGACTTTTTACACAAATTTGAATATAGAATACACTACAAAACTTATTGAGGTAATTCCTGCAATGTTATGGGAAAAGGTAAAAATTAATAGCCTGCGTGCTTTTCAATACTACTAGAATTCAAGGTGGGAAGATAAAATTATAGATGCAAAAATCGATAAAATATATGAAATGTATTTTGAGAATATTCAAAATAAACTGTCTACGTTTTGGCCATTTGCCATAAAAGTAATTTATTGATGAAGTTAGACCGGTCTTACCATTAGGCTTCCTTTATCATCTATTGCCCCTCTTGCATACACGATTGTTCCATCTTTATTTTCCGTTGCATCGAACGGGTCGGCATGCCATTCATCTTCGACAACAGGCACAACATCCAAATGAGACGCAAGTAGGTAAGGCAGGAGGGTCTTGTCTCTTCCTTGTACATGAATCAGAAGACTGTATCCATTCACTATTTCATATTGCACGTGTTTGGATTTGAATATCTTCGGATGAGCTACACAGACAAAACAATGTATAAGAAATCTATGAAATTTATCGACTGGGTTGACTGTTTTAATAATGCTCATCAATATATAGTTTTTCGCCCAGGCACTTTGACGCTATATAGCCAAATTTTCTACGTTGACATTTTGATGCCAAATTTTCAAATCAATTACTACTAGCGGTGGGCGACATACAACTTTAGCAAGTAACGACATACAACTGACATGTGCTTCCGCTTACGCTATACTCATGTAAAACACACGCCGTACAGCAGCCATTGTTACGAAATAAATTCGTGCGCAGATAATAAATTTATGGCCAATGCTAGTACTTTATTGATTGTAATACATATCCAAATTTTACTCGCATTTCAGCTTAAAAGAAAATATTAGTTTTTACCGTTTTGATAAAAAAAAATTGAGCAAAACATTGGTTTTATGTTCAAATAAACAGGGTACAACTTTTGATGGCATTTACTACTATTTAGTATTTGGTATGATTTTCAAGTTAATGATTGCCTATTTCCGGCAACTTCCAATGAGACCTTTGTGCTACCATCGTACCAACTGTTAAACAAACAGCTTCAATGTATTAAATCGGAAATTAAGCGCACGTAAAATGTGCATTTCCTATAACAAACGTATGTCCTGGCAAATTGAAATATAGCGACATTTACGCATAACCTTAGGCAACTAACAAATATCTTAGGTTATACTTGAGAGATAAATCGGTAGCCAGTGCAAAACCGAATGGTGGTGACGCTTTATACCCAGAACTACTGGTCCTTACCTTCGATCACATAATTTAGCATTTGCTGTATTTTCGACATCTCATGGGTTACAGTTCTCATCCGAAGGGTATCTTTGAACCTTTCCCATATTACATCGTTCAATTTGAAATATCCCAATGTTTCATTCTTGGCGCACTTCGGCAATTTCTTTTTCGTAATATTAACTAAAACGAATGTTCGTATAATGCATACTAGGATTATTACGCCAACTATCATCGCAAAATACTTGCAAATTTTTCTGATCTTGGCCATACCTTCTAACGGAAAAAATTTCAAATAAGTAAGTACGTCAGATAACTAACTATTCAGTAATGCAACAACTCGGATAAGATCAGTCTAGTTTCAGCGGTTGACTGCGCAAGTCCACTTTAGAAACACTCGAAATTATGCGTTTCAATTTAGTGTCTGCTCTCGATAGCAGCGTGTTGATATGACGTTCACTTTTAATGCTCGTCAGTTGTCACATTTTGGTCAACGTCTATATCCTGATCAATGTGATTCTTATGCATATAGCAATGACTATTCTGAATAAAAAGACTTGGTGGCTTCACACGCGATATATTGAAATAGTCGGTATTGCGCAGTGATTTCCCTACACCCCCCCCTATAGGGGGTGAACACCCTCCCTAAAATTTCAACCCCCCCCCCCCCTAATTTTGAGATGCGATTCCACACTGAGGGGTTCTAAACCGCAGTCTGCGGGCCAATTACGGCCCACGTAACGATTTAAAATGGCCCGCCGAACTTGAGAGAAATAGTTTAACCCTTCATGTGGTACTTTTTGAGTTTTAGATATCGTCTATTGTTACATCATTATCACAGTTTAGGCACGTTTATTTCGTAACAATTGAATTATTCCGGTATCTTATGTATACGTATGGGTATTAAGATTACACTGCAGTATTTTAGATATCAGCCGTATATTAAGAAAGCTTAAAGATGTCACAAAACGAAAACTAGGCACTGAAAGCAGACGTTTTTTAGATGAATGACAGGCTATTGGCAACGCGGTTAAATGGGAGATCTAATACGGATGGATGCTTTCATTCTACAAACGACATCAGAATGATCGCTTCTATTATTACTTATCGATCTCGATCGGTAAGTATGTTGGTAGGTATTTGTCTGTTGTAAAGTTTCGTACGCCAGGAGTCGATTTCAATTTTCCCTAACTTCACAACGAAAACATCAAGTGTTGCATGTACAGGGACCACTGAGGGGGGTGATATTGCCATATTGGATATATTCTCAGACGTACGCCGAACAGTGTAAACGAATTGATCGGATCTTTACTGGTACCCCTTTCTATTACAAACGCGGCAAAAAATAGATAAATTAAATTTATCGGCATCAGTCTGGGCGCTTTTCAAATAATTCCATTAGTCTTTTCGTTAAGTCCTTCTTCAGACGGCTTTTCCCCAGCCTATGAGTCTGAGAAAATTAAGCTGCCAACAAAATCATTACATACACCAAGATATCTTTAAAAGAAATTTTATGGCTTTATGCCTTTTATTTCACTTTTTTAAAAAATTATTAAGCCCTGCTGTTAACAACTTTATCATGATTTCCTTTGGAATAGGGCAACAAAAAATCCATTTGTTTGGTCATGTTCCGGAGTGCACCTGCAAAATTAAAAATTCAATTTACAGAAAAATGTAATTGACAATGTATGATAGTTACTTATTACCTAAATCTCAATTTTGTAGTAACAAAATATGAACCTTTTTTTATACAAACACTCCTATTCACGATATTCGCCTTGGACGCAAGCTTCACTGATATCTAATAGGGCAGGGGTGAGCAACCCATTTATTCAGCACGCGAGCGAACCCTGGAGACAAAATCATTCTCCTTCAGATAAAAAGTTTCAAGACTCTGAATTATCTGATGAAACCAGGTGTTCATTTCTTCATTATCGTTCGTTAACAATCCGTTATTCATTTATTCTCATTTTCCCTTCATAACATATGGCCATACAGAAATATATTATGACGTAACAAATGAGTGAGCTTTCGAGAAATTTTGTCGATTGAAGTGCAGCATTAATTTGGCTACATCCACACGTAATATAGTTCGTCTGTGCCACCCTTTTTCTTTATTTCTGCTCGATTTATGAAGTTGCACAGCTCGTATTGGTTAGAGTTTCCTACTTATTCACTGTTATAAATTGATTTTAAAAGAAATATAAGCCATTACGAAAGGGATTACAAAAGTGAAGAGCAGAAAACCAACTATTGCCTGATTGGGATGCAATTTCTGAAAAATTTTCTTGTCTTAAGAACTTTGAAACTGCATTTCCGTTTCCATCTACATATGCTTGTGAATCTCTGTTGTCACTTATAAATTTTATTAGGTCCTGTAACAGGAGTAGCCTAAAACAGTGATTCCCAAAGTGGGCGATATCGCCCCCGGTGGGCGAAAACGATACAGAGGGGGGCGAAAAAGTCGAAGGGGGCGATTTCGCGAAACCTGTTTTTGTTCGGCGCATCGTGCACTTAATTCTGTACTCTGGGTGAATTCGCAGGCTTGAATCACGTGGGCGATTATCACACGCAAAAAGATTGCTTGACTCGTCTTCGCAGTAAGGTACGGTAGTTTGCGTATCCCAGTGATCGGCAAAATACGGCTGGAGTAAAATAATCTGGCCAGGAACGATTCACTGAATGGACCTTTCCCCGACCTTTGACTGAGGAAACTGACCTTTGACTGCCAGGGGGGCGATGAAGTTGTATGAGCTACTGTAGGGGGGCGATGGTCAAAAAAGTTTGGGAACCACTGGCCTAAAACATGAAATCCATAGTTCGTGTATTTCTTTGAAAGTTACAAAATATAAACGAAATGTAAAATCTCTATCAGCAATACATGCAGCAACAGAAGTCTCGCTTTGCCGGGAAACAAATTAAAATAAAAGTGCTGGAGCTACATAAATACTAATATTACCGGTATATAAATGAGTATTATTCGCAGTTTCTTGTACCTTATACACTTCTTGGCCTCCACTTCAAAGCCATCTATAGGTAAACCTCGATTTTGCCATTCAGGCAATATATGTACTAATTCAAAATGTGGATGTTTCTCCAATGCTTTCATAACAACTTTCTCATTCTCAATGGTGTGTATGGAGCACGTAGAATATACAACTTTATTGACCTAGAGAGAGTAAACAATACAAAAAATATGATGAATCTCATTCAGTCAAACCATATGCATCACTTGACTGCTGGTACACAATGAAATATCCGCGGCAAAGATAAACCTACTCAAGTTTTCAGAAGTTTTGGGAACTTGGAGTTGCTACATACCTGGGGTTTTTAGCGAGTCATTTGCAAGAATTCTATCACTAATCTCTCCTGTTTGGTTGAGAGCTACTTTGAGCAAACTTAGGCTATATAAAAAGCACAATTATTTGAATTACGAAATCAAAAACTTTTTAGTTGTGGAAGAAAATGAATCATTCCAGTGATTGCAACTTGCAGATGTAGATGATACCTTTGGAAATAGAAGAGCATGATCCAGAGCTTGTGATTGAAAATTGGCTAATGATTGAAGTCGCGATTCTGAACTTGAATCATCATCATTTGTTAGTGAATTTAACCTGAGAAAAGCAGAAAAAATGATCATATCTTCAAGATAGCAACTGTGAAGTGAAGAAAATTAGATCGAAAACAATGCCATGATGTATACACTTTACAGTACACACGATTACTCGTACTTCTTTTACACAAGGATAGGATTTACATATTTATCCCAGGGAAGAGGGAAGCCATTGAGACAACGAAATGATATAGCGAACCACAGGCCCTCCTTCGGAACCAGTCCATATCGGGTATGGGTTTAGTCCAGCAATCCTTCTCTGACATAACTATCTCCCACAGGATTTGAACCTACGAACCAACGCAGGGTAATCAGAGGTGCTGTGGCAAGCATATTCCTAACGCTTAGCATGATGCGCCACACCGCCGAGGAAGATGAGTAATTAGGTATATCTAATTTAGCCCAAAGTAAAATTCAGACTTCTTATGTTTATGTTTCATTGATTTCATAAAGAAGATTAGATACATCAATCTTACTCAATTTTATCTTTGTTTGTATCCTACCTATTGTGTGAAGTTAAAAACATTCACACAAGCAATTATATGGGTACAGTATGAAGGCAAAGTATTGTATACTTCGCTTGTAAGAAAATATTGAGTTCAAAAAATAAATATATTACATTCATATAAAAAAAGAACTTGCATTGCAATGAAAACAAAACTGTTATCGAGACAAGATACTATTGTAATTCGGCCCCCTTACAAATACTGACCTATTCACAATTCCAGATCCTGAACAAGATGGGTCAAGAAGAATCTCTGTTGCTTTGCAATATTGTGGATCATCATGTTTGACTTTTAAAAAATCTTGCACTTTTGTTTGGCAGCATAAAACTCCTGCTTTAAGCAACATAGAGTCCATTGTACTTAACCTTTGAGGGCTTAAATCGAATGCAAAAATTTTTCTGAAATATAATATTAAAATTAGCAAGGGAATTAATTCACTTGTGTTATTAAAATAAGCTCCCATAACATAGGCTTGCATAGAATGTGGAACGATCATGTACAAGCGGACTCAAGGTCCTTGCTGGGATAATAAGCAATACCAGTCCCTGTTGCCTTAGTCATTGCCATCTTTAACACTGAAACAATAAGTTTAGTTTTCTACAAATTTCAATTAGTAGTTATGATTTTGTATATTCTCCAGCAGCGTTGTCTAATAAACAGAAATCCTACTGTCATGTTGTATTACAGAATAGAAAAAATTGGCATTGATTAACAGAATTAAATTCGAAGAATAATGCTACCCTGTACTCTGTATAAAACTTTTGAAGTAAAATGGTCAAATCTTACCCCCTGTTGGACATAATTGCAGCCATATGACTTGTTTTATTCCCAGGAGCTGCACATGCATCAATCACTACAGAACCATTAGTTGGTGATAATATATAAGCGGGTAAACAACTTGCTTTATCTTGAAATATAATTTCACCCCCTTTATACAATCTGTAAGTGAAAGTGAAAAAAAATGGGAAACTTTCAAGGTTTGCTAAATAGGATGAGTGTTGAAAATATTTTGATGGAACAGTATCAAAATAACATGAAGAAATCGCAAGATGCAGGTGTTATTAGTGGGTCTCTTTGTCATTCAGCATAAAGATTGAATATAAAAAATTTCAATTATATTTGAATACTACTAATTCGTCTATTTTGTCAAGCTTTATACTAATTCAATCATTGCAAATTTATAATTTCCATCAATAAAATCATTAGTTTTGAAAGTATTGTGCAATGTTTTTCAAATTAGTTGAAATATTTAAATTTCTCGTATAGGGTAGCCTATACATCAGCTTACCTATCATTATGTAAATCAGTTCTCGGATGAAAAACCAACAGATATGGAATAACAGAATCAATCATAAATTCATTTTTCTGTAGTTGATGAGGAGATCTAAAAAAGAAATTAATTTCTCATTATTAAAATCCGTTTAGATAATACCTAGTCTACCAAGTACCACCCAAATACTTGATTGTCATTTAATATATTCAATTTCGGACAAAAATCAAAAATTCAGCAATTTCACAAATAAAAAAGACAAACATACCTTGATGCGACGAGAGTATAACCAATCTTCTTGAAATATTCAACAGCGTCATCTTTCGAGGTTAGCAATGTATTGATTCTTAAATATTTTGGAAGATTGATAGCGTCTTTCAAGTCCTAAAAGCCAAAAAATACCAGAATTTATCAAAAGCTGCAACAATTACACAAATATCCATGTGGGTACGAAACGCAACACTATAAATACCACCACAAAGAATAGGCTTGAAAAGAGGGCAATGATATAAAACACTTAGTATTATAAAAATACTTTTTGCAACAAATCCTCATTTGACTTCACTTTTCTTTTTACTTTCATCATAGTCAATGCAGAATTTAGCTGTGACTTTCTTGAGTGAATAATCTTCTTATATCTTCCCCCACATTGAACACCTCGTCCAAATAAAAAGTCATGTGATAGAACCTACAAAAAGATTTAGTTAGTAAATACAATATCAGGAATCAGAAATGATAGATATATTCACGTTACAATTCACTTAGTTCATTATTACAATCAGATTCTGATATAGATGCAGAATCGACCTAACTAGAGCATATTAAACTTGAGAAAACACGAAATCCCTATTCAGCATAACTTGTTAGTTCCCAATATATTGTTAAAAGTTCCTACCACAGAGAGAGTAGTAAATGAGTACAGAAAACTGTCATTCTAAACAAAACTGATAGATATTCAATTCAAGACAGTAAAAATCAATAAACTGGAATAGTATCCATTTGAATTTCAATGAACTGAGAGCTTCGGTAATTGCTTCAAGACATTCTCTAAACTATAATATTGATGAAGCGGTACTCACCAAGGCCTCATATTTCGATATATGCGTTCCTTGCATAAGCTTGGTTTTGTTGATGATTTCCATCAGTACATCTTTATATTTGAGTGTTTCAACAACAAGTGCATATAGCTGCTTAACATTCTATAAAAAAAACACCAAACTTTGTTTGAAAAGTATTAGCGAGAAAAAATTAAACAAACCTTTTACAATTTGTCTACATAACTTGATACAACACTTGATATATATTGGAAGTCAGCCAGCTAACTGTTAATTGACATTTAAATGAATTTACCTTATATTTGGATGCAATAACGAGAGATTTGACAGATCCTTGCTTTTCTTCGATGCTCTTCAAGACGCCTGATGCCGTTTTATACAAAGCCATTTCTAATCCTGATTTGTGCAAGTACATAGATATTAACAAATGATTAGATGACTGCCCATTGAAATTGTTAATAAGAATAACGAGGGGAAATCTGATTCACTCATAAGGACCATGCAATACCACCAAACTACTTGAATGTGTTTATATGAAGTTGAATATTCAGCCATCTTATAAGCTTTGGATTCATTAACTTGCTGCTAAGCGATTGGGTGCATAACAAGCACCGCTAGTATTAACTATTTACACAAACCATCCTTGAGACAGCAATTAGCATAATATCATCGATCTGATCTGTTTCATATGAATCACTCATTCAAGGATGTGATGACCGTGAATAAGCTTCAAATATGGTGTTTTTTGTAATCGAATCAGAATCCTCCAATTCAAATACTTTATAAGATTTACTATTCCAGATTCTGTTTAGAATTATATCATGTTTTAGTTAATTTCAGAAAAATAGTTTAATGGCACATAGAATTTCGATTATGAACAAAAAAACAATGCAGCAGGATCGCATCATTTTCATCTAAAATTAACCTTCAGAATTCATTCAAATGCTCTCTCTCTAAATTAGGCGTTTCATTATACCGTTTTTATGCTAAAATGACAGACGAGTATGAGAAGAAAATCGCAGATTCACATTTCATAACATTTTTGGATCACCTTTCACACTGTTTTTGGAATGATATTACCGGTACCGGTATATATTGGTACTTCAAAACAACTCATATAACGAAAGAGATAGGATAGGATTTACATAATTATTTATCCTGGTGGAGAGGAAAGCCGATAAGACGGCTTAATCATATGGCGAACCACGGCCTCTCGTCCGGTTACCAGTCCAGGTCGAGTATGGGATTAGTTAGCCAGGTAATTTGTTTTCGGAAGCATGGACTTAGTGGTGGAGGAAGCCGTGAACCACCCTACGGCGGCGAGGAGTTCAGCAATTCTCTCGCACATGATCATCGCCGCATGGGATTCGAACCTGCGATCCCACAAAGGGTAATCAGAGATGCGGCGGCGAGCGTATTCCTAACGCTTAGCACGATGCGCCACACCGCCGAGCCAATGTTCATTTAATCTTTCAATAAGTTAAATTTATCAGTATCGATCCCTCTAAATTCCACCTATGTGGTTGAATAATATATTTTTAAACAAAACAAGGGCATATTTTCTAAAATAATGTGAGCATGTTGCCGATGACTGCAATATAAGTTGCGGTTGTTAGTACCTCAAATCCATTTAACGGAAACTAAGCATGTTACCAACGGCCTCAGATACTAAGACCAAAAGGTAATTTTGTCCTTGATGAAATCGATACACATGCTAAGTCAAGTACCATCAGGTCCAATCATAATTTTAGATTCTCTTTATTAATCTTTTTGTTTTTTAATGCATCAAACATAAGCTCATGATATTCTTCTATTATTCCTTTCACAGTATGTGACCAAACTTGATCACACTCATCTTTTTTTTTCATGAAAATAACACAATATTCTTTCCCATCTTTTTGAAAATCTCAACAGAGCTTATTATAAATCTGTAAATTTACTAAAAAAATATCAGTGATGAGACAATAACACAAGTAAATAAGTGTGCATAGGATACCAATCAATAGCGATATCTGTATATCAATAAATGTAGACCTAAGATAGTGTTAATAGGCTACTATATTATTGTTAAAAATGATATTCCACATAGTGAAAAATGACTGAAGAAAAGATAGTGAGGATAGAATAGACGCATGCTTCAAATATCATGACTGAAACAAAATCTGTCAAATACCGTAGTTATGGAAAACCAAGCTTGTTTTGAAATAAATATCTACTGTGAAAAACATTGGTAGGTAGAATTGACTTGAATATTATTTCTCATATAAAAAATACTTTAGATCTATTAAAAAGTGACCTGAAATGATCTAATAGGAAACCTGAAAAAATTTGATGTTATTACAGGGCGTCTGGTGTTACTGGGGCGCTCCAGATAAGGCTCCATCAAAATGTCACTGCCCCAGGCTTCGACTCCAGGTCTGGTTATTATTAAGCACATCTGAATAATAGTTTAAATACGGCTGGCCAACAGAAGTTGATTACAGTTACACGAGTAATACCATGACAATATACCAAATACACATTTATCACAACTTCATAATAAATTTGCCACTGGTTGGTTACAGCTTCCTCCACCATCAAAAGTCCATGCATCTAAAACAAAATGACTGGCTAACTAATCCCCTACCCAACATGGACTTGTAACCGGATGAGAGGCCATGGTACACCATGTGATTAAGCTGTAAGTACAAAAATGGATGAGGTGGAGCAATAAAGAAATGCCCTGAGTGAGAGAAATTAATGATAACACAGTATAGCAGCAACTACGACAAAAAGAGTTTTCATTCAATACGCAAAAAATGCAAGAAAAAAATTTGGTATTTTGCTTAACTTTCCTTATTAAGCAATTATCTATAAGTACGGACACAAAATTAGTTCTGGGTCATATACTTAAATCATCAGAAGAGGAATCATAGAAATTAACAAATTTTTTCAATAATTGCAAACATGATTTAAAAAATTAAACGAGACGCAATATTTTTTTAAGATCAATAATAATCTATTTCATGTGTAAAATAATGATTTGGAACGACCAGCAAGTATAATTTTAATTTTGTACAAGCAGGGTTGCCATTTGTATTTTGCCATCACTTGAACCTGTCAAGCAGTGTCCACATGCATTGGTTGCAGTCCAGTCCACAGCGGTAACAGGAGATTTATGTTCAGGTAGAGTTAAAACTGGTGCTAATGTTTCTGTGGCATTTTCTATTTTATATATTACACCTTTGGCTCCTTGAGGCATCAAAAGATTTTTGCCCTCGGGATCAAGAACGAACGAGGAGTCTTTCTGATTCAACTTATTACGATCAGCAAAATGAAATATAGTCGGTTGATTCGAAAACTGATTTAAACTCCAAGCTAGTAATAAAGCATCTGAACCAACACTATACACAAGAGTTTCATCATGAGAAAATTGCAATGAACAAACTCTCCCTCGGTGGGCATTCCATAAATGAATCACAGTAAATGTCTTCATATCATAAAGAGCAATATTACCAATAGAATCTCCAGCTATCAATAAATTTCCGTTATGATTATATTCTATGCATGTAATTTCACTCAAGCGATCTTTAATAATTCTGTGTGACATCCGAACACGGCTCGATTTTATATCCCAAACTGTCAATATACCATTGCCAAGCCTTTGTTCTGGCACTGGTGACACTGCAGAGGACGTGATAAATGAGGTCCCAGAAGGGTGAGATCTAAGATTAGTAATATAGATTTGGGAATCCTCTATTGTAACATCTTCACAAGTTACACTTCTTATTGTATCGAACAATCGTATAGTACCATTCACAGTTCCTAATAACAATATATCAACAGGTTTCTTACACCATTCCAAACATCGAATTGGACTGTTCATCATTACCGAAGCCAATGTGCTGATTCTGGGAGAGTTTTTCCATACTTTAACAACTCCCTGTGCATCAAGGCTTCCTACTGTTGTACCATTTTCATCAAATTTGCATTGTAGAATACTTGAATGATGTTCTAAGAAAACCTCTTTGCTAAGTAATAAGAATGGTTGAATTGCGGTTGTAGGTATTGATGAAGGCAGTATTTCATTACCTAAAATATTAGAAGTATCCAAGCTACGTTTCTCAGTTTGTGAAGGTTCTCCAAGGGAAAGCTTATGAAGATTGTTTACAAAATGGTGCGATGATACAACATCATTAACAGCGGTATTGCTAAATCCACTATTCTTCATCTCCTTTTCCAATGATGTTTGTTTCAGAACGATATTGCTTTCATAGGATATTTCAACATTATTAGATGGACTAACACTGATTTGCTGTTGTTCATCAATACCAATTTTCGGATGCTTGTCTATTGAGATTACTGCACCAATACTTGCTTCCTCTGTTGGTACAATGGATGGTTGTGAACTCGCCACAGTAGTTGTTGTCCCTGAGATTATAGGATCCCGCTTTTTCTTTGAGCCCAAAAGAGCTCTTCTTTCTTCTTCAAACTTTGTCATTTTGTTGGTGAGAATATTCTCCTTGGAAGACTGAGAAACAAGCTTGCTCGTTGACAATTTTGGTGATGATGTCATTGACGTATTATCAAAACTGGCAACATAATTTATTTTATCTTCTTGGCTTTTACTTTTCTTTTCAGTGTATTCAATGTCTTTAGGAGAAGAGTTTCCAGTACTGTATTTAGTTTTGAATTCAAATATTGGGCGTTTCTTTGACTGGTTTCTAGCTTGAGTCTGGTTGGCCAATGAGCCTAAATTTCCCATTGATTCAACATATCGAGGAGGATCAATACCTTCCAATGATTTAAAATTGAATTCATTATTAACTTCTTTCCGTCTAAGCATTTCGTTTTCTTTTTCCAATTTAAGAATACGTTCGCCATCATCTATGCATGCATTAACAAGCTCTGGGACTGGCATGCAAGAGAATAGAGATGCTAGTAAATTATGTAGAGATACAAGATATGTCTCTGCCCACTGTCTGGTAAAATAGGGAGCAAAAGTGGGATTGGTTTCTGGAGATTGTAGATAGGGTAAAATGTACCAATCTTTCCATTCTGTGGTATCCTCAAAGTCTGAGGTCATCCACTGGAAAAAAATTTGCAACTCCCTTTGTTTCGAATTCTGATATGCACGGACAACATACAGGCGATACAAGCTTGTCTCAAAACGTTTAATTGTATTTTCGTAACCTTTAACAAAACGACAAAAAAATGTAGAATTCAAATGATTCCAGTATTGTTTCAATGCAACAATGTCATATGTGCTGATATACAGCAACAATTGCTGTAATATTTTATCTACTCGAAATCCTTTGTCTTTATCCGATTTTAAATCACTCTCCAACACTTTGACAGTGCTGTTGAATCCTCGAAACTTTAAGTAGTCTTTTACAAGCGAGTCTATATATTCAGTTCCAGAAAGCCATGACATGGTTGAATATAAAGAATGTCTTATATGTATCACAGGACTAATAAAGGCTATGCGCAAAACTTAAAAAACTTATGGCCTGTAAAACAAGATTTATAATGATAAGACAGCTTATTTTAATATGATGGTCTGGCAGTACACCAGTTATATATTCTTAACTGTAGCAATTTTCGACCTCTATTGATTCGCGGAACACTTCCGATATCATAAATTGCTTGCGAAAAAACAGATGAAAATTTCAGATATTTCCGAAATACAAGTTCGATCACCTAATAATTATCTCGCTTCTTGTCTTAATCAATATAGGCATAGAAATAGCGAAACTACCGGTACTAAAGATTATGACTTGAGTTAGAGAAAGACCTAACAGATTTAAATTAATGGCTACAAAGATCTAAAATACAAATAAAAGTTCAGAAACTCAGTTCTTACCACTTCATGGCAGCTCCTGCCACGAACGAACCGCAGCAACTCTTGCCATGGTTTTATAGCGCATATTCAGAAATCAGTATTAACGGTATATTCACAAATTAATGTACCAGATTTTAATTGATAATGCGGAATTATATCTACTTAAACCATAACCCCAAATCCACCCAAACTGTATCCATAAAAAAACGTTCCAACTTACCTAATATTTGTCACCATAAGGGACAGCCCTGTCTTTACGGCCCTGCCTTTACGGTCTGCCGTGATTACGGCAGCAAAATTTTACCTGCCATTGGTTTTCAGTTTGCTGCCGCGGTAACGGCAGCTCATCCATGGTTAACTGAATGGCTCGTCATTGGTTTGTGGCAGCTAAAAAGTCAGTCGCCCTAGGTTTGGCTGTAGCGGCCATGGTATGAAAATACCGCCATGGTTTTGCGGCAGCTGCAGTCGCCACAGAATACTTAAAACTGCACTTGGAAACTCAAGCCACAAAATGCGGAAATACTGATGAAAATTATCTAAGCCAGTCTGCAAGTAGCTAGAAACAGCAATGACATTTTAATGCAATATCAGCTCTTTTTTTCCTGGCAAGGATTAAAGAAGGACAAGCACAGTCAGTTCTTCTTCATCAGTCAGTCAGTTGTCAGTTTCTGACGTTTTTTGGGTATGAATAACATTGGCAAATTACGACTACCGACAAATCCTATGATATCATACAACCTCAAAATGAGATTCAGACATCTTAAGAGTTTGCAGTTGCACTATGGATTCCTAAATCAACAGACTCATTTTAAACCAAATACAAGCCCTGTGTATTTTGATTTCTACTTTATTCAATTTGTTACCATAAAGATGTCAATCAGGGTACAATGAGAGAGGGGTTGGTAGCACAAAAGTCATATTGGGGGTGTCAAAATAGGGCTGGCGAAATGCGGTCGTTGCGTGTCAAATTGGGGGTAGTGAAATAGGGCCGTCGAGTCAAGTTAGGGCTGACGAAATATAGTCGGTGCGTGTCAGATTAGGGGTGGCGAAATACGGTCGGTGCGTGTCAGATTGGGGGTGACATAATACGGTCGTTGCGTAGTGTCAGGTCAGGGGTGGCGAGATACGGTCGCTGCGAAGAAACCTTAAAGATTTGATTTCTGCATGTCAGATAGTGACACCACGCAACGACCATATTTCGTCACCCCCAATCTGACACACACCTATCGTATTTCGCCACCCTCAATCTGACACGCACCGACAGTATTTCGTCAGCCGTAACTTGCAGACTTGACTTGACGGCCCTATTTCGTCACCCATAATTTGACCCGCATTTCGCCAGCCCTATTCTGACCCCCCCCCCCCCCCCCAATATGACTTTTGTGCTACCACCCCACCACCCCTGTATGAGAAAAGAACAATTAGATAGGGAACACCTGAATGCCCTCATAGAACTCTGCTCTGTTGCTAAGTCTGGAAGTGAGGAATCTGTCATCAAAAGTTTGCTACAAGTATGGAATATAGGATAAGTACAATGTTTTTGTTATTATTTACCTACCTAAGATAGACATGGTTTCTGTCAATCCATTGGATGTAAAATTTTTAAAAGTTTTATACTATTGAACGAAGTGAATACATACACTGATACAGGAATAATGAGAGGAAAATCATAATTACTGTCAACACTTTTACAATGTTCACAAGCATGACAAGAGAGTATCTCGCAGCGCTTTTGTTATCACTTTATTCTATTTTACTTTCATGTCTCCATATTAGACTAATTGCTATTTGAAGTTTTGGCAACTTTTCTGTGTTTTGTCATTTTTTGGGGTCTCCCTAAAACCAGGTACTTGCGAATTCAGGCACTTTGATATTTTTTATTTTTACCGTACGTCATTGGGGTTTTTAATTTACTCGACAAAATAATTGGACTTTAAATAAATTTTCGCATCCATATATTGCAATAAAACAATATTATTTCCAATTTATTGGGGTATAATTAATTTTTCAATAGTAAAATGTGGCAACATTGATTACAGAATATAGAAATCAGGCACTTTGTGAAAACCTATTTTACAATGTATCTGATTATTTTAAAGCAAAAAAATTAAATATACACACTTTGTGTGATTGAATTTACAACATTTTGGTAAAATACAATTACGTTTGTGACTGATAGAGACGTGTCATATTTCGCAAGTGCCTGATTTTTCATTTTTCTCTGTGAAAGTTGCCATATTTTTTCGCAATTATTTTCTTAAATTATTTGCGTCAGAACTTACTAATCATTCCTTTCTAAAGGAAATTTTTTAGTTCGACAACAATTACAGCGTTTTTAATACTGCAATAAGCAATACCATTTGACAACATATGGTCAACCATCGTACTTTCAGGATTTATTTGAAATTGAATATAAATGAAAAAATCTGGCAACCTCAAGCATAAAATACTAAAACCAGGCACTTGTGAAATTTCACTACAGGGGTGGTGACTCCTCTACGACCCATGGGCCGGGGCCACGGCCCATCTAATTGGGCCACATGGGCCGTGGGCCCGTGGCCCATCAAGCTATGGGCCGCGGCCCCGTCAGGAAAAATTCAATTATCTTACCAAAATTTTCAATTTTTACAAAATTGTCAATATTCGAACCAAAAAATAAACTCCTGTAGTATGTGTACCAGGTTAGGGTTAGGGCAAAATTTTGTTCAGATTTTTTACATTATAGTTCTATTATGAGTTTAGGGACTGTTTGTGTTAGCTAAGTGAATAGTTTCTTTACACAACTTGATGGGCCGAGGCCCAGTTTGATGGGCCGTGGCCCCGGCCCATGGGCCGAAGAGGAGTCACCACTTCCACTAAAATTTCAGGCACTTTGTAAAAACCTATTTCCCGATGTTTTTACTTACTTTGAAGCAAAAACTAAAATATACACTCTTTTGTATGATTGAAATGACGTCTTCTTTTGTAAAAAACAAAAACGATTGAGACTGGTGATGAGGGGTCAAATTTTGCAAGTGCGTGGTTTTAGTGTTTTGTGCTTGAGGTTGCCAGATTTTATCATTCATATTCAATTTCAAATAAATCCAGAAAGTACGATGGTTGACCATATGTTGTCAAATGGTATTGCTCATTGCATTATTAAAAACGCTCAAATTGTTGTGGAACAATGAATTTGCGTTAGAAAGCAGAGAATATTAAGTTCTGACGCAAATAATTTAAGAAAATAATCCAAAAAATGATGGCAACTGTCACCGAGAAAAATCAGGCAATTGCGAAATATCACACGTCTCCATCAGTCACAAACGGTATTGTATTTTACCAAAATGTTGTAAATTTTATCATACAAAGTGTATATATTTAATTTTCTGCATTAAAGTAATCAGATACATTGTAAAATAGGTTTTGACCAAGTGCCTGAAATTTCACAAGTGCCTGATTTCTATATTTTGTAATCAATGTTGCAGCATTTTACTATTGAAAAATTATTTATACCCTAATAAATTGGAAATAATATTGTTTTATTGCAATATAGGGATGCAAAAATTTATTTGAAGTCTAATTATTTTGTCAGGTAAATCAGAAACCCCAATGACGTACGGTAAAAATAAAAAATATCGAAGTGCCTGAAATGGTGCCTGAATTCGCAAGTCCCTGATTTTAGGGAGACTCCATTTTTTGTACCATAGAAAGTTCCAAATAACAATATATGGGTCTGGTATAGTTTAGTACCACATCCCCTTTTAGTTGGCCTGGCTCAACAATTTTTGCATATGTCAATCCTAACCCCCACCTGACTACGTCACCGAAAAATTACGTCATTCCGACGTCACAGTGGCGTAATAAGGCCCACCGAAGTATGCGGATGGTCGTCCAAAACACGCAGACGATCCCGAAATCGAGCAAGCTATTTCTCTCGTTTTCTCGTCGCAACGATCACGATAGGAGAGAGATCGCCGGCTTTAGCAAGTTCTTATCGGCGGCGCAGATGCCATTTCGGGCGATCGTAATGATACTTTGGCAATCCCTATGACGTGTGGTGACGTCGTAGTGACGTAATTTTTGGATGGCATAGTCAGGTGAGGGTTAGGAATAACATATGCAAAAATCGTTATGCTACGCCCACTGGAAGTACTTGTGGTACTAAACTATACTAGACCCATAAAATGTTCTCATATTATGGTAGGGCACAGTTTTCCGATTCCAAAATGTCCCAACATTTAAGTTGGTTCAATAAATCAAACACTCTATTTATCCCTGAAACGACGACGTCTGGTATGACGGCAGATCGCAGTCGTGCTCGTCTGGACAACACTAGACACTAAAAGGCTGAATGAAGAAACGAATGAAGTGGTGGAAAAAAGGAAGTTGAAGTGTTCCCATAGGCAAAAAATTAAAAAAAACACCAAAGGGCTGAACACTAAAAGGAAGAAGTGGAAGGAATTTCTTCCGACGGGTGGTTAGGTGACTGAAGACACTAAAAAGCTGAACACTAAAAGGAAGAAGTGGATGAAATTTCTTCCGACGGGTGTTGAGGTCACTAAAATGCTGAACACTAAAAGGAAGAAGTGGATGAAATTTCTTTCGACGGGTGGTGAGGTGGCTGAGGTCACTAAAAAGCTGAACACTAAAAGGAAGAAGTGGATGAAATTTCTTCCGACGGGTGTTGAGGTCACTAAAATGCTGAACACTAAAAGGAAGAAGTGGATGAAATTTCTTTCGACGGGTTGTGAGGTGGCTGAGGTCACTAAAAAGCTAAACACTAAAAGGAAGAAGTGGATGAAATTTCCTCCGACGAATAATGGGGTGGTTGAAGTCACTAAAAAGCTGAACACTAAAAGGAAGAAGTGGATGGAATTGCCTCCGACAAATAGTGAGGTGGTTGAAGTCACTAAAAAGCTGAACACTAAAAGGAAGAAGTGGAGGAAAATTTTTTCGACGGGTGTTGAGGTGGTTGAAGTCACTGAAAAGATGAACACTAAAAAGAAGAAGTGGATGAAATTTCTTCCGACGGGTGTTGATGTGGTTGAAGTCACTAAAAAGCTGAACACTAAAAGGAAGAAGTAGATGAATTTTCTTTCGATGGATAGTGAAGAAAATTTAATATATTTGTTTGGTATTTATGAGACAATGTCCTCGTGGATTCATTTTTTGTTTATTTTCTATAAGTTGTGCTCAGTTCGAGCCTGGCGAATATTAAAGGCCATGATATTCTCGTTATGTTGTTTTTAATTTTGATGTAATGTGCAAGCAAATTGCTATATATATATATATTCATTTCCAGCTGTTACTGCCGTAGAATGGGTTTGTTGCGCCACGGCGAGGCATGTTTTGCAAATAGATATCTTGTTTTTCAAGACGCGTGAAGCTGATTTTGTTATCAAATCAATTTTTCCAATCAACAAACCTTGTAATTTATATTATGTTTGTGGCCCACCTCAAAATGGCTCTGTGACTTAGCCTACCAGTGGGCCATGGTCCATTGGTTGTGAACCAGAGGTGTAACAGGACTTCAATCTGACGAATACATCATTATTCAAAGTCTTCGTGCGTGAACTGCTTGCAAAATTTATAAAAACAGATATTAAGTCTAAGGAATGAAATATGGAATCAAAAATTAATTATATTCGGGCACAATACCACGGCAATCTATGTACATAGATGTGTGGTCAACTGCGCGATTATTATTAATTTTTGATTCCTATTTCCGTATTTACAAAATACAACGACGATCCATGGACTTGAAATGTGTGGTAAACTACCCGATTATTACTTATCGATTTTAATCGGTAAGTATGTTGATAGGTATTTGTCTGTATGTCAGATCAATGACATTAAACAACATGATGCGCAACTCAGGCATTTTTGGCCGAAGATCGTATCCGATAGCACGCTCCAATGCACATACTTGACGAGACGAAAACGAGCGGATGTGTGCTGCTTTCAAGGCATA